TAATGATTGTTGAAATATGGTAAAAAAATGTAGAGTTTAAAACCTAGCCGAGCGAAGCGAGGCCAAAACATAAAAAACATAAAACTCAAGCAAAGCCAAGAACTATGAAAAAAATAGAAAAAACCATCTAAGATTATATAAAAATTTAAATGTTCTTGAATCTAACATTCTTTTTGTATGATAAGAGTTATACGAGCACAATTGTTGTAATCTTTAAAAAAAGTCTTGTTATTCCCTTAATTTTCAGCAAAGTTGTTAAATATCAAGTAATTATTGGTTTTAGGAGAAAGCTTTGCAAGAGCACCCTTTGTAGAATGTTGAATGATCATATTTCATAAGTTCTTTGGAGTTATAGGTGCAGTAAAGAATTCAGAATCAGAATCAGGTTGGAGAGAAAGCAAGTATGAGATTAAACCGGCAACATGCGGAGAGACCATACTAGTTCCAGAGATAGTGTTGGTTGCAGTTTGTGAGCCAATCCAAGCAGATTGGACATCCTTTCCCTGAATAAAATATATTAACGATAATTAATGAACAGTGATATCAGATATCATTGCGTATAAAGAAATATTCACGGGACCGAAAACATTAACACATGAACCATGGTTAGAGAACCAGGCACGTTCATCTTCAATGGTAGAGGCACCAATAGTGTTAGATAATTCAGAAGCAGCAGGAGAATATTCACAGGCACCACGATTATCATTGCCAGCAGCAACAGCAATGTGGAGCCAACATCTACGGTCTATCAAGATATTAATATTTTTAGAACAGAGAAAATAATAATAATAAAAATGAAAAGGGTAAAACATACACCATCAACGGCCATATCTAAAGCCTTACTTCTACCACCACCTAAACTCATGTTAGCACCAGACCCTTGTTGAAACGACGACCACTTTTACGGGCTAATAGATATTTTTTGATTTCAATTAATCATGTATATATTAGTTAATACCATATATTGTTATATCTAATTATTAGGCCACATGATCATGTACTAGTTTTAATATATTAAAAAGAGACTTGAAACAACTGGCTGGCCGGAAAAAAGTTGTCATACATAGTATTTATTCATTATCTACTGCCTTTTATTACCCTGTTTTAGAGTGGACTGAAAAATGTGATGTGTACATATATGCATATGTGTACATTTTTTTCATAGATAATATGTGAACATATGTGCCACAGTATATAACAATAATATTACAAGTGAAACTAATTTCAAATAGTTTTGATCTATAGTATACAATAAAATTAAAACCATATACTTACTAAATAAATATGATAATAATATTTTTGCTCAAATTCTTTGCCAAAAAGAGGAATTAATGTCTATGCCAAATAAATTGAAACTATTGGAAATTAGTTTCGCTCTTAGCAGTAGAAAGTCAAAATTAGTTTTGTTCTTAGTATTAGAGAAATCAACTATGTAAAATTTAAAAATTGTAGTTTTTTTTTTAAACTTGGCTAGAAAAGCTGCTGACACTATATTAGATACAATCATAATTATGTACATAATTGTTAAACTATATTACAACCTAGAACTAGACTATGTTAACCCAACTCAGAGTACTAACATTTATCCAGCTGCCTTATTAGATGCCCAAATATATTTTAGTTGCACAACCAGCATGCTATGATCGAAACCAACACTAGCAGTCAGGGTACCTACCACCTGGAAAAACATTACTATTAAACTACCCACAGGTGGAGAGGATCATACCTGTATCTGATGCTACTCCTGCATTTTGAAACTATTATATCTAGCTAGACTATTTTCCTTGCATTACAATTCTTTTTGTTTCTATATAACTCCCAAATTGATAACATTCAGGTTATAGATCTTGATGATTTCTCAGTTTGGTGTGCCATATTATTTTTTCCCTAAGGTTATTCTGACATTGATTCAGAATCGCAGAAACTCATATCTCAAGTCAGAAACTGCTGACTAGTTATATTTACTATATGACAAAATTGGTATTTTATTGTCAAGTATCTCTTTTACATTTCTGTTCAGATACTACTAACTATATTTTAAGCCAGTTTCTGCTACCACAGCTCAACAACAAATACCTTAGGTCTTAATGTTATACAGTTACTCAGTGTGTTTCTCTGTTTTTTTTAAGTACTATATGCTATTGTGGAATTTAGAACATATTTCAA